ATAATTTCGCAAAAGAAGTACAAGGCCTCCCAGGATCTGATTTTAAGACTTTCTATAAAGCTGTCGTTATCAGGACAATGTGGTATTATCGGTGAAAGAATAGCTAGATGGAAAGAACAGAATCAGGAGTCCACAAATAGACACACCAACATGCAGACACACACGGCCAATTGGTATTTGACAAAGGTGACACGGTACTTCAATGGAGAGAGGACAGTCTTCTCAGCAGCGGTGCTAGGACTGCTGGACACAGGCGTGCAAACAGACCGAACTTGGGTCTCATGCTGCGACAGGCATTAACTTGGAATGGGCCACGTACCCACATGGAAGAACTTAGCAGGAGACACAGGAGGGATCTTCATGACCCTGAGCCAAGCAAAGATTTCTTTGAGTGGACATAAAAAGCATGAGCTATGAAAAAAAATTAATTAATTGGGCTTCATCAACATTTAAACCTCTGCTCTTCCAAAGCCACTGTCGTGAGAATGGGAAGACAAAGCCACAGACCGGGAGAAAATATTTTCAAAGCACACATCTGAGAGAGGACTTGTATCTAGAATATATGAAGAACTCTTGTAACTCAATAATGAGATGAACCACTCAATTTAAAAATGAGCAAAAGACACTTCACCAAAGAAGGTATATGGGTGGCAAATAAGCACATGAGAAGATGCTCAACATCATTAGTCATCAGGGAAATGCAAATTTAAACCTCCATGTGATACCACGACTCATCGACTAGTGGCTGAATTGAATGGCTAAAATTAAAATGATTGACAATACCAAGTGTTGGTGAGGACGGGGGAGTAACTGGGAATCTCGCCCACTGTGGGAGGGAATGCAAAACGGAACAAACCAAATTGGAAAACACACTGGCAGTTTGTTATAAAGCAAAATATGCACGAACCAGCAATCCCGTGCCTGGGCACTCACCCAGGAGAAAGGGAAACACACGTCCACACCAAGACCTGTACAGACTGTCATGGTCTGTCTGTCTGTCTGGTAGACTGTCATGGTAGCTCTACCCATGACACCCCAAAACTGGAAAAAAAAACCAGGGAAATCCATCAACTGGTGACCCGATGAACACAGTGGTGCACACTTCGGCAATAACAAGAAACAAACCACTGATCTCGCACCATCCCACGTGGGGATGAAACTCAGAAGCAGCATGTCGAGTGGAAGAAGCCAGCCGAGGAAAGACGCACACTGTGTGATTCCATTTACCGGACATCCTGGGAATGACAGGGCTGGCAGGACAGAAAGCAGATCAGTGTTCACCGCGGGCTGGAGGTGGGGAGAGGATGCTGACTTGGGGACGAAGGAAATGGCCTTTTATCTTGAGGGCACCGGGGTACTTGCCTCTGTCCATCTGCCAAACTCACAGAGCTGTGCACCGAAGAGGGAGAGCTTTTGTACATAAGAAATCTGTACATAAATTAGCCTCAATAAACCCAACTTAAGATGAAAAAACTACTCATTTTCTTTTTTAGGAAGTAACAGCCTTATAAATGTCTAAAATTTGACAATAAAAATAAGACGACCAATTTAAAAAGACACAGTCACAAATTGCATGACAGAAGTCTGAACACGTGGTAAGACATACGCACGGGAGAAGAGATGCCTGTGAGTGCCCAAAATGCTAATAAATTGTCATTGTCACCAAAGGAAAAAGACAGTGGTATTGTAAACCTTTTTCTCTGTTTTTCAAATTTCCTAGAATGTGATCACTTATCCTCGATAAAGATTATTTTTAAAAAACACACTTTAGTGGGGCACCTGGGTGGCTCAGTCGGTTAAGCACCCGACTCTCCATCTCAGCTCGGGTCTTGATCTCAGGGTCGTGAGTTCAAGCCCCGAGTTGGGCTCCACCTTCAGCGTGGAGCCTACTTAAAAAAGAAAAAAAAAAGAGTTTCATGAAGGGAAAAGATCAAATGCTGATAGGTCAAGTAACATGAAGACTGAGAATTGATCACTCAATTTAGTCAATGTATATGATTTAACATGGTTCCTGTAGAGTGGAAGAGATGAAACTTGATGGGATTAAGCTCAAGAGAGATTAGAAAGTGTTTCTGGGAAAGGTCTTCTTTCTCCCTAGACATGGAAGACAAACCCATGGAGACCTTGGATATTCGGGCTGCCATCTTGAAAAACAAGCCCTACTCTGGGCTCCATGCTGGGCGTGGAGCCTACTAAAAAAACAATAATAATTACAAAAATAAATGAAATAAAAATAAAAAACACACTTTAAAAACTTCGTTGATCAACAGATACTAATAGAAAATAAATGGGATAGGGGACGCCTGGGTGGCTCAGTTGGTTAAGCGTCTGCCTTCGGCTCAGGTCATGATCCCAGGGTCCTGGGATCGAGTCCCGCATGGGGCTCCCTGCTCCGCGGGGAGCCTGCTTCTCCCTCTGCTTCTGCCTCTCTCTCTCTCTGTCTCTCATGAATAAATAAATAAAATCTTAAAAAAAAAAAAAAGGAAAAGAAATGGGACAGACACGGATGGACTCTAGGACAAGGCCCACAGGTTGGGCCTGATCCAGTCAAGGGCTGAGAGGGAATCTGCTTGGGGGTCTGGAGGCCCCTCGGCTACAGCTCAACATCCCGGGGCAGTTATTGGCTCTGGACCCAGTAACTGAAGCTGAACCACACGCACGGGTCCAATCTCCCCCAATCGGTCATGACAGTGCACCATGCCCCCGCGGCACAGGGAGACCAGCAAGAAAGCGCAGACCAGAAACGTTGGGGCTTTCGGCCCAACGTGCAGCTCATGGACAAGACCCATGGGGGCAATGTTATGATGCCCCCCACCCCAAGCACTGGGAGATCAGATTGTCTCCTAAGAGTTAAATTGTAGACTCGGCATCGATGCAGAGATCCCATCGTCCCGACAAAGAGACTGCAGAATTTGGCTGGAACCTGATTGAGGGCATCATGTTATTGGGAAAAATCACACAGGTGTCAGAAGGGAAGAGGGGGTGGGCGGGTGATGGCAAAGGGCCATCAAGGCAGAGGCAAGCGTGTGGGTGGACTGCCCGGTGCTCTGGGAAGAAGCAGGAGGCTGGTGGGGCCCGGGGCCTCAACACTCCCTGAGCAGCGACCCGGTTATCGCCGGCCTCATGTTCTTTCCCGCGGGCGACACTCTGCCGGCCCAAGGATCAAGCATTAGCCCCTTTGGTGCTCACATTTCCTAGCGGACACGCATAACTTGGCAGCCTCTGGTGGACCCAATCCCTGCGAGCCGACCCTGAGGACACAGACGCACTCACGACATGATAGCAAAACCCGGCTTCTGGGCCAGGGGACTCCCCTGGGTACAGGGTCCTGCCACGCCCAGACGGCGACCGGGGTGCTGGCCTCGTGCCCCATCGTCCCGACCATCAGCCAGGACGCCGCGAGCTTCCTGCATCTTCTAAACCGGTCTACATGCTACCAGCTGATGTTTGGCATTTAGTTCAGTCGCTGAACTGGCCTGCAAGCCATAAGCGACGCCGTATGTTATTCTTGCGATGTCCTGACCTTGGTTAATCTGCCTCAGACTTCCTTCTTCAGACCCTATGGTTGCAGAGGGCGCATCTCTGCAGTTACGCCCTTCACAGCAGCCCACGTGGGCAACGTGCTTTGAAGGCGACCTCACTCCTCTGGGCTGCAGTGTAGTTTTAGGGGGGACGCTGAACCAGACTTCCCATCCCTTGTTGTCAGGGGCGTCGTGCGCGAGTGTGCGCAGGTGTGTGCGTGTGCGTGTGAGCGTGCACCTATTTTGCTAAAACATCCACCCAACCCTCCATGGGTGCATATTTTAGAGACATGATATTTTAGGGGGCTCCCCGGCTGGCTCAGTCGGTAGAGCACGTGACTCGACCTCGGGGTTGTGAGTTTGAGCCCCATGTTGGGTGCAGAGATTACTTAAAAATAAAATCTGAAAAAAATTAAAATTAAAAAAAAGAGAGTTTAAAAACAAAGTGTTCAAAAACATGATTTTTTTTTTTTTTTTCCGTTAGTCAGATGGGCGCCATCCCAACGGCCGAAATCTCGCCAGGCTCTGGAACCCCCGGTGGGGTGTGACTGTCACGGCCTTGTGGGGAAATACCTGCCAGGTCTGTGCATGTCCGTCCCCCAGAACTCCAGGCTCACAGAGAAGGCAATGCTATAGCGTAATGTGGAGCTATAATACTCCTGGGCGTGGTTGCAGTCCTGCAGCCAAGTCAGACCGCGAGGAACCTCCCCGCCCCGGTGGGAATCTCCCCCAGACGCGGCCCCGCGGCGCACTCCGCGGTGGGGAAGGAAGGAATGACCAGTCGTCCCGCTGAGATTCGGAAAGACCTCTGGGACCTGTCGGCAAATGAGAAAAGCAAGGCCCACGACAGTGTGTATGCCTCGTTTGCGGGGGGGGTTGTTTTGTTCTTTTTTCTTCATCACAGGACCAAAGAGGAGCAGTGCCTCCCAGCTGTCTGAGCACCGCAGACCGTGCTGCAGGGCTGACGAGAGCGGTTCATTCATCCTTCTGCCCTCCGCCAGGCTCGGTGCCGGGTGCGGGCGCCGGGCGCTGCCTCGGGAACCCAGCCACCGCATCTCGGTCCCCATCACCTGGGGCGGTTTGGGGAGTTGAGGCAGCACTGGGCCCGGAACCCCTGCGCCCGACTCCCTGGCCAAGCCACACAGGAGGGACGGAGGGGACTGGAGGAGGGCCCTCTTCCTTCCCCCTGGCGGGGAGATTAAGACAGGATTGCGGTTGGAACGCGGCCCTCCGCAGAACAATGGCTCAGGGATGGTTTCCGCACACAGGCGGTGAAAAGCAAAGCAGAGGGACACTCTTCCTTCCGGGAGATAAATACCCCTTTCTCCTTCTCTCACTGTTTGTCCTAATCTTCCCAGGAAGCCTGAGCACAAAATCTTTGCTGCTCCCGATACCGCAGAAAGTTTGAAAAGACTTAAGAAACGTTGAACGATGGTGAACAATAGGGAGCTTTCAGGGCGGAAGCTGAGGCTGTGGGGCTGCAGGTGCACGCCCTTTGTCCCAGCAGACCCAGCAGGAAGGGCGCTGTGGGCGCATCTGGGAGGAGGTCGGGGTGCAGCGGCCCCCACCTCCGCGGTGCACCTGCAGGGCAGCCGGAGGCCCTCCCGGGTGTGCCCATACCTGAGTGCCTCCTGGATGGTCCTGTGGGCCTCGTCGCGATGCTTCATGCCCACCAGGCAGGTGGCCCACTGCTGCAGGATGTGCCTTTTCTCCATGTTGATGGCGTCTATCTCCGTGCAGGCCTGCGGTGGAGAGTCAGGGTCACGTGGACATTGGTCTAACCTCATTACGCTCAAGGCCCCAAGAGAATGTCCGAAAGCCCCAAATGTCCTGAATCATCTCCTATCCCTGCGTTACCCTTGCTTTTCTTACCACGCACCAGCAAAAGGATAAATGTGAAAAGAAACACAGCTCTAAAGACACATCGAGACGCCCACCTGGGCCCTGACTCCGCGCCCCAAGGCGCTCAGTGCCAGGGGGTCGAGGAGGAGAAGAAGGTGTCCAGCAGGGACGGACACCCATCATACCCGGACCCCGGACGCCGGGGGTGGGAGGGTGTCGCTGATTCTCACAATGAGTCCTGTCCACAGGCCAGAGTTTCGGTCACGAGAGATGGGTACAGCCTCTGTGCCTGAGACCCCCTCCCTGAAGAGCTTGTGCTGTCGAGAATGACCTGGAAGCTCCGTGGGAGCGTCCGTCAGGCCCTGTGCATGCACGTGCGTCATCGTATTCTCTATGTTGTTTTATAACCTGGAATTAAAAATTAGCGTGTTGTGCCCAGGTTTCCATGTCAGCAAGTATTTATTTGACTGTTGGGACAGTCTTCCACTGCACGGATATACCATGACTTTTGTAACCAATGCCCTCCCCTTGGGACTTTGCCATCATACCCAACACAGTGTTCCCACTGAATCTCTATTCATTTTGCTTGTGGAGCTTTTAATGTAAAAAATTTTTACTTGCATGCCTCTTCAGTAGTTTCCTTGGTGTGAAGCCCAGGTGATATTTAGGAGGGGGCAGGGGCGTTTTGGGGGGTGGGGGGTGTAGGGGAGCACATGTGTTTTTGCTACCCGCCTGGGAGCGCCACTCCCCCCTGCGCTGGTTTCGGGCTATCAAGGGCTCCTCATCCGTTCATTCCGTGTCTCTGGCGCACCTGCTGTGGGCCACGTGCTGCTCCAGGTGCAGGAAGGCAAAAGGAACAGGACGCGGGGCAGCCCTGCCTGGAGGGAACACACCCAGCAGGGAGGGGCAGAAGGCACCGGGAGGCGTAAGCTCGTGTGTGTGTGTGTGTGTGTGTCCACGACCATCCCGCGGTAGAACCGGGCACGGGGTATTTCTTACTGATCTGCACAATCTCTTCCCACCACCAAACTCCCTGGTGGGTCTCCTGTCTTTTCGTGTTGTTGGCGGCACCCTCAACCTCCAGGGTCTGTGGTTGGCGTGCCTCGCCCTCCCCATCAGCTCCGTTAGAGTGTCTGCTCTCCGCGCTAGGTTTAGAAAGGCCTCTGCAACTCTGAATTTAAAAAATATTTTTCTTGGGGTGCCTGGGTGGCTCAGTCGTTAAGCGTCTGCCTTCGGCTCGGGTCATGATCCCGGGGTCCTGGGGTCGAGCCCCGCATCAGGCTCCCTGCTTGGTGGGAAGCCTGCTTCTCCCTCTCCCGCTCCCCCTGCTTGTGTTCCCTCTCTCGCTGTGTCTCTCTGTCAAATGACTAAATAAAATCTTTAAAAAAAAATATTTTTCTTGTATTTTCTTCCAGTACATTTCCCCCATTTACATTCTTGATCCCATCTGGAATTCATTTTCGTGTCTGGTATGAGGAAAAGATTTGATTTTTCCCCAAATGATTAACCAAATGTCCCTGCTCTGCTGTGCATGATTCATGTGTTCTCCATTAATTTATAATCCACTCAAGTTTTATGTAAACCTTTGCTTCTTTTGGGGGTCTACTCGTAGGCTACCATGGCCCACCTGTCTATCCCAGACCACAGGGACACATCATTTCACCTTCCAGGCTTTAGAGTGGGCAATATTTGGTAGGGCAACGTCAGGAGGACCCGCCAGCCTGGTGTGTCTGGGACTCTCCTGCCTTTAGCACAGCAAGTCCCACATCTCAGGAGACCCCTCCGTTCTGGGCAAAACCCGTCCTGAATTTCCCTTTCCCAAACAATTCCTGGCCAGTCCTCCGAATGTATGCTTCGGATAAACCTCAGAATCTCTTTGCTAACTAAAAACTGCCTTTTTTCCCCCTGAAATTCTAATCAGAACACATTCTAGACCCACAGGCTGGAGAGCCCGGGCCGCTTTCCCACACGGACCCAGGTGTGCCTGTCCGTTTCTGCAAGCGTTTTCTTTTCCCCAGTGAAAGTGGCTTGTTTCCTTCGTGTCGTTCCTGCGCACACGAGTGCAGATGGTGATTCGCAGATTAAAAAAAAAAAAAAGAAGACGTGGCAGTGCTGGTTCCTGGTGTCGACCTCGGAACGTGGTGCTGCACTGAGTCCTTCCCACCGGGGCTCAGCCGCGTTAGGGAGGCAAGAGGCCACTCCCGCGAGGACCCGGCCGACAAGCAGACTCAGATGTCCGGCTTCCCGGAGGCCTTTCGAGCTACCACTGGCTGTGGCCGAATAGAAACGGCCCCGCCCCACCGTCCCCACCGTCCCCACCGTCCCCACCACGGGTCAGCCTGAGCTGCTTCAGGAGGCACACCGCGGCGGCAGGAGCTGCATCCATCTGGCCCTCGGCAGCGAGCCGGCGCCCTGCGGCAGGCACTAAGTGGGTGTCCCGAAGCCGAGCGCGGTGGTGATGCTCCTACCTCGCTCACGGCTTTCCTGAGAGCCCGCGTGTCCTCGGCCTGGGCACAGCTCTGAGCCTCCAGCAGCGCGATCTGCTCTTCCAGATGGTTGGCTTTGGCGGTGAGCTGGTCCACGTGAAGGTCCTGGGAAACAAGACCACGGGCCCCTCCAGCACACTCCTCCACCAACTCCCGACCCAAGCCAGCAAACCCCAGGCCGGCCGCAGCCTCCTAGGCAGGAGGCTGAGCGGAGGGACTTTTGGGAAATCGAAGGTTTGGGGGTAATGGCAAATGCGTCGAAGTCGAGAGTACCTGCTTCTTCTTCTCCACCTCGGCCCGCATTCGCTCCACCTCGGACTTCTTCACCACTTGCTTCATCACGTGGATGTCGTCGCGCAAGTCCTGGTCTATGTTCTGCATGTAGAAGAGATGCAGAGCCAGGCTCTCCAACTCGGCTTGCAGAGCCGCCACTGCGGGGGAGGACGGGGAAGGCCGCTCAGCATCCCACACATGTTGTCTCGGGGCCCAGAGCTCCGGAAGGCTCTCCGGCTGCCCTTGTGGACCCAGCCTGGGAGCCTGCTGCTTCTAAACCACAAAGACTCAGACTTTGCCATCAAAGCCTTACAGCCTAGTTGGAGAGACAAAGATGTACGTAATCCGTGTCCAGCATCACCACGAGCCGCTCGGTTGCCCGCCGTGTCTTAGAGGCCCTCCCCATGCCTAAGGATCTGTTGAGACAGTGTCAGGCTACGAGGCCTCGCGTTAGTCTTACAGATTTCTTACCGCTTAGCCATTGGCAATCTTAGGTAGAGTCCCACATCCTGGGAGGAAACCTGCCCAAGGGGCGCTGAGCTCTGCCACAGCCCCCCCGGCCCCCCGGACTGAAATGGCCATGTGGGGGCACAGGCCAGGAGCACCGGAGCTTTCCTCACGGGCCAGGCTCACCAGCACAGCACTTCCACTCCCCACTCAGAGCCACATGGCGGATTTCCGTCCAGCGCTCGCAGGAGACCGCACCCCGAGGAACCGACTCCTTTTAACAAAACTCACGGGAGATTGATTTATGAAGCCAGATTACCAATTCGTTTAGGGAGCTAACTCTCAATCAAGAGTCATTTGCTGTCTTGCATAGAGCGTTCCTTTATAGGTGGATAAATGCACGCAGAACACCGATTTATAGAATAGAAATATAAATTCACCCCGCTGAGTGGCAGGCATCCTTGAAGGGTGTAGCTTAACCCTGAAACACATTATTTTGCACCCAAGGTGACTGTAAAAATTCCAACGCTGGCGAATTCTACGGCTCCTGCGTGGGTAGGAACTATGGGGGGTGGGGAGCAGAAGCAGGGACAGGGAGGTGTTGTGGTCAGAGCAGGCCGGGGCGGAGACTGCATTTGGAGAGAGGGTCTTCACAGAGGTAATTAATGTAAAATGAGGTCCTGTGAGTGGGCCTAACCCCTCGTGGCTGGTATCCTTAGGAGAGGAGATCAGGACGCAGACGCACAAGGGACCACCAGGTGAGGCCCCGGGGAGAAGGCCCCGGGAGAAGGCCGTGGCTACAAGCCTGGGAGATAGGCCTCGGGAGGAACCAGCGCTGCCCACGCCTGGCTCTCGGACCTCCAGCCCCCAGGACATGAGAAAACAAGCCCCCACGGCCGCCGAGCTGACCGATTCACCCTCCCACCTAAAACGTGCGAGACTCACGTCAACCCTTCCTTAAGAGCGCTGAGTTCAACCCTGCTTTGCTTCACTGAGTAACAAAAAGTCAGTACTTCCAGTGCTTGTTTAAATCTGCATAAATATCAGTGGAGTTGAACCTAGTTTCACTGTTTTAATGACCATGTTTGTCCCTCCTCCAAATCGCTTGCTCATGTCCTTGGCCACACAGCTATTGGGACGTTTGCCTCTCACTGGGCGGCTTCTAGGAACTCTTGATGCGATCAAGGCAGGGTGGGCAGAACTTGAAGACGCCTCCCAGGGCCTCTGCCACCTGCTGTGACTGCTGTGATGATGTTGCTTATCTGTCCCAAGGGAAATTACCAGGTGGGCCTGGCCTAAGCAGGTGAGTCCATCTAAAGCAGAGAGTGGTGTCCAGCTGGTGGCGAAAGAGGAAGTGAGGGAGATTCTCAGGGTGAACTGGATTCGATGAGAAGGAAATTCTCTGCAAAGCTGGCCCGAAGAAGGGAGGGGCCCCATGGCAAGGGACGTGGGAGGCCTCCAGGAGCTGAGAACCACCCCTGCGGACAGCCCCGAGAGGAAGCAGCCCGTCAGTCCTACAACCCTGAGGAGCTGAATTCTGCCAAAGACATGAACGAGGCTGGAGTCGGATGTTCCCGGGTGTTCCCAAGAGACCCAGCCAACCAGCATTAGGGTTTGGCTTTGGGATACCCACGAGGGGAGCCCAGTTGGCCACACCAGGCCTCTGACCTCGGGCTGTGTGGGCGTGCAGACACACGGGCTCGTGTTGAGCCCTGAAGTCTGTGGGAATTTGTTTCCCAGCAACGGAAAAGTAACTCGGAACATATGGAGGTTGTCACGGATGTGCAAATGGGGTTTGCCCCCAACTTGTGTTTGTCTTTTAACTTCGTCATGCTTCTTGATAATTTTCATGTTTTTGTATAAACAAAACTGTCAAATTCCTCCTCTGTGGCCTCGTACTTCACATCACGCTCCGGAGACCCGCCTCAGCCCAAGATGATTAACAACAACAACTACAGCGGCCTTACATATTCCTGTAATGCTTCTGTGATTTTCTTAAATATTTACTGCAGACTTTATTTTTTGTATAGTGTGAAATAGGGGTCTAAGTATGCATTTCCAGATGGCCAAATGGTCAAGCAAATATGTATTGGCTTAAAGATGCAGTCTGTCCGTTTATCTAACCTGCAGAAAATGGCTGGATCCCCACGTGAGCTCCCCAGCATCCTCTGCTCTCCACCATCCGTGCTTCTTCCCCTTTGGTGCCGTTCTGGTTTTACTGCTGTAGATTGATACCGTGTTTTGACACCTGATAAGACTATTTTCCTTCATTATCTTTCCTTTTCAAAATTTTCTTGGGTAGTCTTGTGCATTTAATCTCCTGAGTAAACTTTAAGATCAATTTGTGCAGGATGGGGAGCTTTTTACGTATTGATACAGAATCTTCTCGAGCACACGTCGGGAAGCGGGAAGCGTGGGTATGGCACAAAGCTACTTGTTTAAAAAAAAAGATACCCTCGTAACTTTGCTTTTATACGCAAAAACATCTTTAAAGAAACACTCGAGAACCAATTCCACACCCCCCCCCCCCCCGCTGGCCCCGGGCCCGGCCCCGGGTGCCTCTGTGGAGGGTCCTGGGGGAAGGGGAGGCAGGAGACTTCCCATCCCAGAGCTCTCGACTTTTGAGTGATTACTTCTTGAAAATGAATAAATAGGGGCACCTGGGTGGCTCAATTGTTCAGCTCTGCCTTGGCTCAGGTCATGATCCTAGGGTCCTGGGATGGAGCCCCGCATCGGGCTCCCTGCTCGGCGGGAAGCCTGCTTCTCCCTCTCCCACTCCCCCTGCTGTGTTCCCTCTCTCGCCGTGTCTCTCTCTGTCAAATAAATAAATAAATAAATAAAAATAAAATCTTTAAAAATAAAATTTTAAAAAAGGAAAATGAATAAATAAACGCCTATGTCAAATAAATTTAAGGTCACCCAAAATACCCCATCGTGGACTTCAACTGGAACAGCACTGAACGGCATGTTGACTGGGACAGAGGCGACACGTCCGTATCGTGCAGCTTTCCTCCCAGTAACAAGGCAGCTTTACTTATTGAAACCTGTTTTATGTCCCGTAGCGAGATTTTATTATTTTTCTCCGGATAGGCTCACTCACTTCTTGTTAGGTTTATTCTAGGTATTTTATGGTTGTTATAATCATGATGGATGAGATTTTTTTTTTTTTTTGAATTTAGTTCTTAACTGGATATTCCTGGGATAGGAGAAAATGCTAGCTCTGACATTCACCTACTTTACTTTCTTTACTGTTTCTAGTACTGGGTTTTTGTTTTTGTTTTTAATTATTATTGGTAATCTTGGATCTTCTAGGAAACAATCATATGATTGGTAAAGCATGAGAATTTCATGTCCCAAATCCTCACCTCATTTATTTTGCCTGTTGGAGGCTCCGGGACTGTGCCCATGGCCTGGGGCGGCTTCCCCGTCTCCCTCCTGATCCTAGCTGTACCTTCTCCAGTGTTTCCCACTCAGGACAGTTTTCTGGTTCGTTTCTGAAAACATTATAAAGAACTTTCCTTCTACCTAGTTTAGGATGGATGGTAAGTGTTTGCAAAGACCCGTTTTGCATCCACCCAGAAAATCCTTTGTTTTTCCCTCTCCTTTAACTTACTAATAGAATGCCTTAAATTAGCAGCTTTCTTAATTTCAAATGATTCCTGAATTCCATAGGAATTCCACCCTTCTCTGTTTGCTACTAATTTATTTAGGATTTTCTTGCCTCCTGGTGGGATGGCTGTGTAGTTTCTGTGTTGGAGGCTGTCCGTGTTTGCAGCCAGGGCTATCCTCCCCGTTCTAACACCAGCCTGGGAAGTTTCCCAGATTTCCCGCCCCCTGGAGGGCTGGACAGCATGGGGGGGGGGGTGTCTGTTCCTTTCGCAGTTAGTAGCGGGGACCCGTCCATAACGAACAAACTGGTGCTTTCAGGGGAAATCGATGTCTGACAACGTTTTCAGTTTGTTCAATGATGAACCCAGTACAGAGCGTGGCCTTCTTGAAATGAAAACCAATAATGCCTCTGAATTGTCCTCATTCCCAGGGCTGCTACTTGGAGGACACATGTTTTGTTCTTCCCCGGGCAGGCCAGAAGTTTACTCAGCATGTTGGTCATTTCAAAAATGGAGTATTTTTATCTCTCAGGCAAACTCGTTTTGTTTTTTTTTTTTGTACCAGTTTCAGCTATTTTACTTTATTAACTCCCTCTTCCTACCTCTTTTGTTTCTGCTTTGTTTTGTTTTGTTTTTTGCTCTTTTTCGGCCTCTGGAGTAGAATGTTTGATTTTCGGTCTTGTTAATGAAAACTATGCAAGGTCCTGGGTTTTATCGGAGTGCTTTCCGCTGAATCCAGAAGTCCTGATACGTGGACTCCCTTTGCCACTAAATCCCTAACTAGTCGGTGATCTCTGTGTGGACAGGACTCTGTCCTCTTCCCTTACAACGTTCCGAGCATCGCTACTCTGTCATTTATGTTTGAGACCTGTGATTCTCAGCCCCAACTGCACATTAGAATAACCTGGAAGGCTTCAAAAAACAAAACAAAACAAAAAACCAAGGCAAGAAACACAACATCCGGGGCCTTGGCAGAACAGCTGAACAGGGGGTGTGTGCCTGGCTGTGTGCGCCCCAGGGGCTCCTGCCAGGGACAGCAGGTTGCTCTCCGCCTGCCACAGTATGATTCTGTCCGGCCTGGAACCCGGCAGCATTTTTTCCCTTAGCTTTGGAATTTAAAAATCTCACCAGCTGTGCCTAGGTATGTTCATTCTGTTTTCCAGCTGTCGGGTCCTCCGAGCACCTTTATATTCGAAGACTCACCTTTCCTGAGCTCACGCTGATGTTCTCCTCTGATGTCGCCCGTGAGCGTCCCTGATCTCCTGGGACTTCCGTCTGATGGGCATCCACGGTTCCAGATCTCACACCCATGTCTTATATCTCCTTCTCAAAACATCCACCACTTGGGGTTTTCCCTCTGAGTTCGGGGAAGAACTCCTCAAACTGGCCTTTTGGTTTACAAGTTCAATTTTCGGCAGTATTGCTTTGTCTGTTTAGTGACTTTTGTTTTGTTCTTTTGGGAGGATGGTTATACTTTTTAATTCCAAGTATCCTTTTACCTAACACTGTGCTCTCGTTTTACTGATGTGACGTCCTCTACAATCTCACACTCTTTTCTGTTTTTGGCGTCCACTCTGTCTGTCCAGCCCTATCCCCTGCAGTCTGGGGGCGCTGCCGAGCACTCGCATTTTGATGGGAAGTTTCAGTGACTCTCTCCCAGGGGAGGCACGCACTCGTGGACATTCTCCAGTGGCAAACACCCACGTTTCAGGGCAGCAGCAGCACCGAATTCCCTAGTGCTCGGAAGGGAGAAAGGGTAATGTTTCTGGAATCCTTGCTTGGTTGAACAGCTTCTGTTCCTGTTTTGGTGACCTCCAGAAAGGACACAAAGTCCAAGAAGATGTTTGCATCTCTCCAGAAGCCTGGCCACACTTTGAGCCTTCACTGAGTGGCGCTGGTGTGGAGCACGTGGGGGGCCTGGGTCCTCTTTCAGGTCGGTCTAAATTCTGTCCCACCCGGAGCATCTTTATTGTTTTTGCATGAATGTCACGTTCTTCTCTTCTTGGTATTTTCTGTTAATTTGGTGGAGATCAGGGAGGGTGCTTGATAAAGGAGCACTTAGCCTGACTCTGTCAATCCAGAAAGTTCTGCATTTCTCAGGGTCGGAAATGTCTCTTTGCAGCCACAGTTAGAGTGTCCGTGTGGTTCTGTTTTCTGTGTAGGCTGTTTTCCCCGTTGTGGTAATCATACACAGCTGATAAACAAACTTGGGAACAAAAAACCCCACAGACTGAAGTAATCACAGCAGAGTGCGAAAAGCGAGGGTTCGCGGGGCCCACAGCCTGGCCCTGTGCAGGGAGGTGTTTTACTGGGCAGAGACCTATTGCCTCATCTGGTCCGAAGCCTCCCGGTTTCGCCAGGATCTGCCGTACAGCCGGGGCTGCGGCCATCCCCTGGGCCGTTGTGCTTGGGATTGGCCGCATCCGTGGGTTCCCGCTTATTTAAACCCTGCCCACCTCCAGCAGCCGGCCAGCCTCTCCGAATGTTGACTCTGCCTGCCTGCCTTGTTCGCTGCTTGGCCCAATCAGGTGCCTTTTAAGACACTGACGCCTTCCTTCCCTAAAAGGCTGCGAACTCCCCGAGGACGCGACCACATCGCGCTTTTCTCGACGCCCTGGGATGGCACGCAGGGATGCCTTTCCGGGACGAGCTGGCCTGTGGGACCTCCCCGTGGGGGCGTGACAGCACGCGGGGATGCGCCACTGGATTGCGAGGGCACTTGGGGATCGGGGCGCCATGGCAACCGGGACCCCGAGCCTTACGCTTCTTGCGCTCGTTGTTGGCGGTCTCGCAGGTCCTGGCGTAGCGGAGGCGCACGCTCTGAAGCTCCTCCTCCCTCTGCCGCCTGGCGCACGCCGCAACCGAGTGGAGGTCGTGGTTTTTCTCGAGCTGCATCTGCAGGCGGGCCAGGTGCTGCTGGACTCCGTAGAGATCCACGCCCAGCTCCTGCCGCTGCACGCGGCTTTGCTTGGTGGCCACACTCTGTGGGGGAGAGAGAAAGCGGGTCACGGGCCGGAGGCACACAGCTGGGCAGGAGGCTGGACAGGCAGATACGCACCAGCTCTTGAAGTTCCAGTTTCAGCTTCTCTATCTGGCGGTTAAGATGGTTCTTCAGCGCAGCCTGGAACCTTACCATCAGGGGCTGAAACGACGCAGAAGCAAGCCTGGTTGCCCTCCTGCCCAAGCAGGGCGCCGCCTAAGTCGCCAGAGCTCCCCCTGGGGGCACCAAAAGTACTTCCACGCTGGGTGACCCTCACTTCTGCCAGGGACTTGCGCCGGGACTAAGGGCACTCAAGGTCCCGTCCCAGGCACTGAAGACCTGAGTACGCATTTTGGCAAAAAGACAGAGTGGGCTGGAGTGGTGGTCCTGGTTTCTCCCCAGGGATGCGGGAGTGACGCCAGCACCGAATGAGCCCTGAGCCTCTTTTCCCAGAGCAACCGCCAATCTTTCCCACCGGGAGCACCCTGGCTTTCCAAATGGGCTCATCCAATCAGGATTCGCCTTCGCCGCTTGCCAGAGGGTGGGGCGTGGGAACTCAGGTGGTGCGCTCCAAGCAGGGGCTCTGAACTGGGGTGACTGTGCTCCCACCCGGCATCCAGGATGTCTGGAGACATTTCTGGCTTCACGGCTAAGGGGCAGGGGCGCTCCTGGCCTCTAGCGGGTGGAGCCGGGGGTGCTGCCCTGGACAGCCCCGCCCCAGAGAGTGACCGGGTCCCAATGTCGGCAGTGCCAGGGTTGAGGATTGCTGACTCTGGGCGAATGAAACAGAAAGGAGAAGACACCTCACAGAGCAGTTTTGCAGAGTGGGCGAGGGGTGGGGTGGCGCTGGGGGCAGGGCGTGGGGCGCGGGGGCACAGGCGAGCTCAACAGCAGGTGAGGGGGCGCCTCTGATCGCGCTCGGTGTCAGGGCCCCAGCAGGGCCTGGGAGCACGTGCTTACGTGGTCGGGGTCCAGAACCACCAGCTGGTGTCTGTCTTCCTCGGCCTCGTCACTCCCCTCCGACTCCATTCTCTCGACAGTCCCTTCTTCGGCGGTGCCCAGCTGCTGGATCCGTTCCAGGAAGGCCGGCGGGGCTCCTCTCCCCGGCTGCGCACCAGGCTCCTCTGGGGGGCCATCTGGGGGCAAGCATTACAGAGGGGTTATTGCAGTGGCTAATGAGGCCACTTTCCAGGTGCTGTCAGGCGAGGCTGATTTCCAGCCTCATGCAACACAATGGAAAAGAGAAAGAAAAGGCATCCCATGGGTTAGGGCTCAGAAACGCTGCTTACAGTGTCTTCTGTTCATCAATCTTCTATTCGTTGGTTCAACATGTTCCATAGAAGGGATCGCATTTTAAAGGTAATGCGTATTACCTTTAATACATTCCAAGAAGGAAATATATTTTGTAGATACTTTTTTAGACATAAATAGTGAACAGAAGGTGCCTTCTTACTCATGGACTACCTTGATTTTATTTTATTTTTTTTGAATGGGAAACAGCTGATAAGATTGAAAAGCTGTATCAGTGAGGCTCTAGTTCCAGCTTCCCTATCCTCCTGAGCTGGAGAGATCCTGTTCTGTTTTAACGAGTTTAAAAACTCGTTCAGATGTGTGCTGTCTTCACCTCACTGGTGAGTGATGCAAAGCTTTGTTAGTTGCACCATCCATGCTCGTGTATCATAAGGAATAAGAAATATCCCGGTCTGCTTTCCCACATCCGCAACACTGGGATACGGGACAGGGTATGCCGAGCGACCCTTGGAGACTCAGCAAACACGCAGGCTTAGGGGTGTTGTTCCCGAGCCCCTCTCTGAGACCAGGAGGCAGTGAGGGGTGGCGGTCAGGGGCTGTGGTTTGGGACGTCATCGGATCTCTCAGTCAAGGTCTGGTTCTGCCACATACTCGGGTAGGTCACTAAATGACTCTTAGAGTCTTTGTAAAATGGGAGAATGGTTCCTACCTCATTGGGTTACTATAAGGATTAAATGAGATAAAACACAGTGAATGCTCCATAAATATTATTCCTATCTGTTAATAACATTTCTATCTTTCAGCTCCCAGCTGAATGGGAAACGAGGTAACAGATGATAAATGAGTGGTACCCCTTGCACAGAAGGGGATATGAAGGGGCTCATCCCGTGGGCAGGACAACCCGGCAGGTGCCACGGTACCTAGCTCCTGGATGAAGGGCTCCTCCGTGCTCAAGAGCAGCTCGTCAAAGTCTGAGGAGGTGATGCTGCTCCCCTGGCTCAGTCGGAGGCGGTGTCGTGCCCCCAGAGGAAAGACTTCCTGCTGGAGCCCTTCACCGGATTTTTTCTAGAGGAAGAACAACCAAACCTAAATCAATGAGGCCTTAATCAGGACTGAAAAGTTATTTGATTTTGATCTATTGCAGTGTTCGAAATTCAACATAATTGCTGAAGCGTGGAAAACAATTTGGAGGGGCGCCTGGGTGGCTCAGTCATTAGGCGTCTGCCTTCGGCTCGGGTCATGATCCCAGGGTCCTGGGATCGAGCCCCGCATCGGGCTCCCTGCTCGGCGGGAAGCCTGTTTCTCCCTCTCCCGCTCCCCCTGCTTGTGTTCCCTCTCTCGCTGTGTCTCTCTTTCAGAGAGAGAAAGAAAGAAAGAAAGAAAATAGCTTCTCTTGTTAAAAATGCCTGGCTCCATTTGAGCTTTAAAAGAGACTCTTACAATTATTACTGTTGACGATAATTATTGCTGATGATGATCTGGTGAGGATTAGTAACAACAATGACCCTGTATAACACTCTTTGAGGCAGATATGAGTCACCTCTGTTATCTGAGGGGGAGCAGCCTCATGGAAGCTAAAAACCTTGCCCGAAGTTCACACACGCAGCCAAGGGCAGGTGCAGAGTTGGGATGCCTCAACCCGCCGCTCATGCTCTTTCTAATACTTCCTCAGATGATGCTGATTCTAGAAACCATCTCTGAGGAGGCAGAACCGTGATGATAGTAATGGGGGCCCAGAGTCACAAGCCCACCTCTGGGGTGTCCAGAAAGGGCTTCCCCTACCAAGAAATCGAGGAGGCATCCACACGCCAAGACACGAAGCAGCTCCCACTCTGCAATTCCTGTTCCTTCTAAGGACTGAGCACCAGCCGGGAGGAAGGGAAATAGGGCTCTCACTCAGGTTTGTCTCTGCCTTTCTGGTTGATCACATTTGGAAACTGTTTCCCGGTAACTTTTCTAGAAATGGGACCCGAGGATGGAAACTGGGTTTATAGCTCAATTAAGTGACCCACACCTCAAATCTCCTGGACATCTTACAAGGTGAAGACAGTTGTTTTCTGAGCTTAATTAGCGATCATCAAATCATGTTACTCTCCAAGGTTATTAACTCTTTAGGGGTCACCAGGTGGGATGGGATCGTGGCTTTTCGGTTCAGAATGGTGGCTGCGGAACAAGAGCAACACGGCTGCTTGACTCTGGGCAGGGAAGGCCGTCCACCCGCGTCCTCATCTGTCCAGGGGGGTAATAACAGTTCTCACCCCAGAGGGTTGTGGTCAGAGTCACTGAGATGGAATGTCAAGGGCAAAGGCATGTCCAGACCAGAGGTGAAGATGGAGGAATGTAACCCTGCTCCTCGCTTTCTTTCCAGAACAACTCAAACTTGCAGCCAGCAGCGGGGGCAGAGGAGAGCAGGCTTCAGAGGCCGAACCCGTGGGGAACCCTCACAGCACAAGTGCCAGGCCCGGGCCCGGTGACCAGAGTCCCCACAGAGGACAGCCTGCCACAGTCAGAGCCCAAATATTTGGGGGCTGGCCTGGGTGGGCTTGGCCCAACAGTGATGAGAGTGACCAGGGCAGCCCAGTGTGGGGGCGTCCGGGTTCAGGTGGGGTGAGGACAGTCCACGTGGGGGTGGAGAAATGCAGTGAAGGTTACATCCGGGGGATGGATCAAGTTAATAAGTACGTTAGGGAGAATGGGGACTAGCCTTCTCATTGCTGGAAAAAGGACTTGGACATATGGAAGGGGAGGGCACGGAGAGGAACCCACTCAGTGGGGAGTTGTGTTAGAGAGGGGTTGGTGTGAGCTGTGTCTGAATGCGGCGTGTGGTGTGTGTATGTGTCATGTGTGTATGATACTGAGAGAGCCTGGGGACAGTGGACCTAGCGCCCAAATCATGACTTCTGAATTTTATTTTCCACGAAAAGAAACCAGGCTCCTGGAGAAATGTCTGATTCTAGGGCCGGGCACTCTGTGCCAGAGAATGAGAAAGTGCTCCAAGGATGACAGCGGTTACAAGAAAGAATGATACCCGTGTGTCGGAAGGACACAAAGGCCAATTTAAATGGGCTCTCACCGGCCAAACTGGGGACAATTTCTATTCAGTGTTGTGCTGGAAGTTCTAGCCAGTGCAAGAAGGCAAGAAGAAGATATAAAGGGCATCCAGATTGGGAAGGAAGAAGTCGAACCGCCTTTATTCACAGAGAACATGATCATCTTTATGAAAAATCCTATGATTCTACAAAAAAAAAAAAAAAAAAAAGAGCTACTAGAACTACCAAGGGTGTTTCACAGTGTTGCTGAATATAAGATCAATATACAAAAATCAGTTGTGTTACCATATTCAGTACCGCAGCAAACAGCTGGAAGCCATTTCCAAGAGCATCAAAAATGCAAAATAGCTAGGGACAAATCTGACAAAAGATGGGCCTATACACACTGCTCAGAGAAAGATGAACTCCTAGCAATATGGTGGTAATCTGTTGTGATTTGAAATCCTCACGTTTCCTATCGTAACCAAAAAGAGCACCTTCCCATACCATTTTTCTTAAATGCAAAGGGGCGGAGGAAAACCTCCCAGTGGAGAAGCCTCGGGGTCTTCAGCACCATCACTGGTCATGGGACAAACTACAATCAGGGCACTACTGCGTGGGGCATAAGGAGAACCAGCCTCCCCCTGTGACCCCTTTCCAAGGGATCATAACCCAGATCGCCACAAGAGGAGAACCAGGCAAATCCAAACTGAGAGCCATTTTAAAGGTGGCCGGCTGGTGAGCTTTGGAAGTGCCAAGGTCATTAAAGTCAAGGAAGGATTAAGACCTAAGAGGTGGGACAGCCAAAGGCAACATGTGATTTGGAACTGTACCTCTGCTCTGAAAGGTGTCACTGGGACACCTGGTGAATGAGGCCTGAGCATTATTTGGTGATGTAATGACAGTTCCTGAGTTTGAGAGCTGTATTTCGGTTGTTTGGGAAACACGCACGGAAGTTGGTGGCCGTGGTGCATCCGATGGTTGACTTACTCTCCAAGGCTTAAAAAAATAACAAGTTCTTCTAATCCTACTTCAACTCTTCTATAAGCCCATGCTCATTTAAAAATTAAAAAAAAAAAATTGTAAGACCATAACTACTGTCATGATAATCATGATTATCTAGAATTACATTGTCCAGTATGGTAACCACTAGTAACAGGTGGTTATATAAATTTAAATTAATTAGAACTCTCATTAAAAACTCAGTTCCTCCATCTCCCAGGCCGCATTTCAAGTGCTCTGTAGCCCCTTGTGACTGATGGCTGCCATGCTGGACAGCAAAGGTAAAGAGCATTTCCATCACCATGGAAAGTTTCACTGGAAGGCCTTGTTCTGGAAACCAGAAACCTGGATGCCCTTACATGGAATGTTCCCAAACCCAAGGTCCAGAAACTCTTGGCATTCAAGAGTGGGTCCCGAGACTTAAGTTTGCTAAGAAATTTCTAACAGAGATTGCAATTTGTTTTTATAATGTGCCCCTGAGTTGCTCACATAGGGTGACAAACCACAAAGGCAGTCAAACACTTTCATAAAGTCGACCTCGGGGCACTTACCGATCTGCGAGCTCTGAGTCCAGAAGCATCCCGGCCTATTTGCTCGGGTGAGTCTACTACTTGCCGGGATGGCTGTGTGGAGATGTCCCCCAAATCTCTGGATTCTGATGGACGGGGGGCTTCTCTGTCTTCAGGAACACGTTCCCTCCCTACATGTTCATCCGGGTATGTGGGGCCCGCTTCCTCTTGGGGCACCGCCCCAGCACCGACTTCTGAATAAGCCAGATCTACAGAGCTGACTTTCCCTTCAGGGGAGGCAGCTTCCACATCGGATTTGAATTCCCCTTCAAATTCAAATTCGACTTCATCCCCTTCAAATTCAAATTCGACTTCATCCCCTTCAAATTCAAATTCGACTTCATCCCCTTCAAATTCAAATTCCTCTTCCGATTCTACTTCTCCACTGATTTCCACTTCTCCATCAATTTCCACTTCTCCCTCAGTTTCCACTTCTCCCTCAGTTTCCACTTCTCCCTCAGTTTCCACGTCCCCCTCCGTTTCCACTTCTCCCTCAGTTTCGATTTCTCCTTCAGTTGTGACTTTCCCAGAGGCTTCAATTTCCTCTTCAGAAAGCTCGGCAGCACCAACAGCCTCGTCAATGTTTTGGTCACCGGTCTTCCCTGTGGGTGACACCTGCAGATTTGTGGCAGGAAAAAAAAAATCAGGAAACACAGTCAAAAACTCCTGTGAAGTTCTGCTCGTAATTGTGTAATTACATTGGTGGGAAAACTGCGTCTGCACACACCTACGTGTCCCTGGAAGATTAAGCTCCATATTCTACCTGTTCTCTCCAGTGTTTGTAATTTTTTGCGTCCTTTGTTAGAGAACCTGAGTTCTGAAAACCTCGGGGGTGATCTGAGTAGGGGATGCGGGGCATCCCAACTAGCTGCCAGCGCTTAAGAATGGGGAGAAAGGAAAATGAGTCTCTCTGCAAGGGGACTGAGTCTGTTCTAGTGCAAGGTATAGGATCCCCGTGTAGTTTTCTTGAGCAGAACTCTTAACTCTTTAATTCCCAGTAAAGACAAGCCCAGCACAGCCCACCCCACAGGGAACTTTACCCTGTCGCCTTCATTATTCTGGGCCTCCTCTCCTTCAGAAGTTGATTCGCCTTCCAGCTGAGACCTGGGTGCAGAAATACAGTTTAACAGTTTCAAAGAACAACGTTCTTTTTCTTGGCATTGATCACCTCCGGGTGTCTATATTCTTATTTACTTGTTGATTATATGCCTCCCCTCTAGGCTGTTGGCCATGACTTTGTCATGTTTACCACCAACCCCAGCACTAGATCCTGCCTGACACCTGGAGGGAGGGAGCGTCACAAAAGAGTTGTTCCATGAATGAATGAAAAATAATTATGGAAACATTCAGGGAACACCATCAGTACAACAGAAAAGTCACCTTAAATATACTTGTGTCTGGGGCCAAACGGGAAAAGAAATACAGCGTAAGAGAAAGTTGCACAAAAGGTGCAAAGACTCTTAGAGACTCTTGGTTAGTTCCTCCATGATTTAGATAGTACAAAAACGTCATGATTTACATTCTTAAAATTATTTTTTTCTAATTAAAAATACAAGCTCATTTTTTTAAAAAAAGTCAAATACAGAAATGTGTGACACAGGCAACGAAAATCCTCTGTGACTTTCTCTCTTCTCAAGATAACCACTAGTAATAAAAGAGATTTAAGCGTATATTCTTGCAAATATTTTTCTATGCATTTAAACACACACACACACACAATTAGAGGCCACACTCTACATACTGTTTTTCACTTAGTCTTTTCTTTTAATGTAACCTGGACTGCTTTCCATGTCAGTATATATAAATCTATCTTTTAAAAAAAGTGAAACACTACTGAAGCGTCTAAGATAAAAGGTCCAATTCTTGAAAATAGTTTCTGTCCCCAGCCCAGCCCCCGCTCCTGGAGGTCTGGGGGTGGCAGGGGGAGAGTCGGGGTCCCCGCGGTCAGGAAGCCCCTCGGTGATCCTTCACACACAGGGAGACCTCAGGCAGGTAGAGATCCTGCCACCAGCCTCCGCGCTCTCCTGCTTTATGTACAAGGACGCAAACTATCCGCGAAGGCACGGCCGAGCATAGTGGTTGCCATGGTTACTGCGGGACGAGCGAGCCCCGGGGTTTCGAGAGCCCGGCGACCCGAGCGAGGGGCTAGAGGGAGGGGACCGGGAGCTGACAAAGGGACGGGAGACGAGAAGGGGCGCGGAGGGCTGGGGGTGGCCAGGGAGGCGCGAAAGGCCGGAAGGGCGGGATGGGCGGGGCAGAGGAGCGGGGAAAAGGGCGTGAGGGCAAGGCGGAGGCGTGGGGGCCGCTTCGAGACCCGGGACCCTCGCCCCGCTTACCCGCCGTCCTGGCCACCAGGCTCCGCCATCTCCCGTTGCTAGGCGACGCCGTCAACATCCGGCGGGCGGGAACCACGCGCGGGGCTGGAGCGGGCGGCGCGGCGGCCCGTCCTTTGTGCCACCGAGGTGCGCTGGAAACGCAGAGCACCTACGTACATAAATACATTAAAACATAAACTTAGTTTCTCCGTTTCTAAGTCCGACTTCTGTCCCGCCTGGCTCAGGTTCAGTAAAGCGACAACAGTGTCCACGAGCGTAGAGCCAGGCAACTCAGATGGCCCAGGGACCGCGCTGGGCACCCGGGGACCCGAGACCGCTCAGTGCCCCGAAGGTGGCAGGTGGAGGTGGGGGCGCGAGGGGCTCCGGAGCACACTGCACCTTGGGGGGGGGCGGGGGCCCCAGCCTGGTGCCCTCCCATCCATCTCCAGACCTGGGGTTGGGGGGGGTGCTCGGCGTCCCCTCCGCGGGGGTGCGGCGAAGAATCCTTGGCGGAGAAGGATGCTCAGTGGCTTTTTGGGGGGTGATGATCACTTCTTACCCCCACATAGGAAAAATATAAATGGAGAGGGCAGAACAGAGAGGGCGAGCGCGCACGTGGAGCGTCCCAGGGGTCCTGTCTTCACTGCCGGGGGACGCGGGGCTGCCATCAGGGCCAGAGTCCTGGGACCCGGAATTAGGACGGCCTGGGGCAGGGGACTTGGGTCCCGAGGGCGAAAGGTGACTGGGGCAGGGTCGGGGCGCACCAAGGGGTTGGGGGGAGAGGGTTCGGCGGGGAACCGGTCTGGGCCCGGGGCCGG